AATACTGTTTATAGCTGGGATATACAGTATATAATGTTTACTTTTTCTGTCCATTGTATTTTCTGTGTTTTCACTTGGTTAATTTTCTAATCACTAATTCAGCCCTAAATTGTTTAAAATTACTCTCATGATGGTAAAACACATGAGATAGTCTATTAATTTCTTGTGCCTAAACACACCTTTTAGGAGGTTTCTGAAATGTTCCAATGTAGGCTGGTTGCTCTCTATTCTTGACACATTGGTAATTTAGGAACTTACTTCACCATTACTCTGGAAGAATTTCCTTTCGTTTTCACTTTAGTTGGATTTCCTATTTCCTGATCCCATGTCTTCCTCTGTCTTATTCCCTTGGTTTGCTCCATAGCTTTTTAAGAAAGAGTATTTGGGAAATAATTTTTTGAGATTTTGCAGGTATGAATATGACTTTATTTTTTCCTTAACTTAATTATTTCTTGGTTTGGCTGATTCTACGATTCTATGTTGTAAATAATTTTCCTTCACAATTTTAAAAGCATTTCTCCATTGTTTATCTACCCTCCAGTATGCTCATGTGAAGTTTAATGCAACATTATATACTTTACCCTTTGAATAAAACTTATTTTATCTGTCTGGAAACTTGTAGGATCATCCTTTTGTCCTTAGTGTGCCTTAATGTATTTTTGTTTCCTTCTGGTCTTTAAATTTTTTTTGACACTTGAGGAACCATTCCATCTGACAAATCACCCCCTTTGGTTTTAGAAAATTTTCTTGAATTATTTTGTTGATGATTTCTTCCCTTTTGTTTTCTCTGTTTTGTTTTCTAGACCCTGCAGTTTTTCATTTCTGTAGTTACCATTTTTAGTCAAGACCTTAGTGTTGTTGTATACTCCTTCTCCCAGAACCCCAGATTAGGGCTTCTTGTTCTTATTTTATGAGTGGATTATTTTTCAGTTAACTCTCTGCAGGTATTAGTTACAGTTTTTATTTTTGTTTTTAAAATATTTTCTCTCCTGTATAGTCTGTTTCTTCTCTCTTTTTCCTTTTTTTTTTTTTTTTGGCTTGGTCTCTATTTTTTATATTAGATATCTTAGTCTTTGATTGTCCTTGGAGTCTGCTCATATGTGAGAGTGCAGCACTAATAATAAATTAGCAAACATATATATATATATATATAATGCTTAGAATGTGTCAGACACAATTTTAACTTCTCATAAAGACTTCAGGAGTTAGTTACCATTGTTATTCATTATTAATTATGATTATTATATGAGGAACTGAGGCACAAAATGTGTAGTAAGTTGCCTAGTGTAATACAGTTGGTAAGTGGCAGAGCTGGAATTTGAATCCAAGCAGCCTGATTCCATGGTCTCTTCTTTGAACCTTTATTCGTATATACTCTTCCAAGTCTTATGAAATAAGGGGTGAATTGGAAATTGTGTGTGTGTGGTTAGAGTTTGTCAAAGTGGTGTGACCTGAGTGAACTCTATCTTTGTGGAACCTCTGATGAGGTCCTTTTTCATGGGTTAAATTAGATTCACCAGAGAAAAATCTTCTGAACTGCCTATTAGAGGTTGACTTGAAGCCCAGCCGCAGGCAGATTGGTGCTGACTGCTGAAACAGGACCTGGGGATTGGGCCTCAGCACTTGACACAGCTTTGATTTAGTTCACCTGTCTCAGTGTCATCCAGTCTGGAGACCCTGAGCGGTACTGTGTCCAGGGAATAAACCTTAGTCTTCAGCAGTGATAAGGAATTGTAAGTTGCTCAGTTGGGCAGATTCTGGGAAGGAATCTTGTGTTATCCGTGACTCTTCTTTTGAGTCTTACCTTTACCTAGCTTTCAGTGCCCCCCCTGCCCCCCGCGCCCACCATTCCTGAGCCTTTTGTGAATTCTGTGACATAAACATGATTCTCCTTTTCTCACTTGTAGTTTGAGTCATCTTTGTATTTATTTTCAAGTTTTATACAGTTTTCTCATTTCACATTGTCTTTGACCCTGTGTTTATGAGGAAACAAGCAATCAAAACAAGTATTTGTTATCTTTTAAGAAAAGACTTTTGGGAAAATAATTGAATAACTCATATGTCCTTAGTGTGGCATTTAAAATTTTCTGTTTGGCCCAATGAAATAGATCTCAAATGTCTCCTACCTGGAACATTTCATGGTGCTCCAGCTAGATAAACCACCTTATAGAAATCTGTCCTTTCACCTTGGACATATTTTCTTCTTTCTTACAGCTCTTTTATATCTCATATTATTTGTATTTGCATGCTTTTCTTACACTCTTGCCCTTCCCCCCACACCTGACTTTAACTCCTTTAGGACATTGAGTGATCTTCCAGAGTTGCTCAATAAAAATTTGTTACAGGAAGTGTTATATATATGTTCTTGTAAAATATTAGCAATATATCAAATACTGAGGATAGCAAAGGAGGAAATTGCACATACAATGGTGCAATCAGAGATTAAATTTAGATATAAAGTTGTATGATAATTGTTAAACATTGACATTATGAAATCTTTCAATTTAGATACCTAATCATAACAAAGCATACATCTCTTTTTCCAGGACAGTCAAGGAGAAACTGCATGATTTGTCAATTTTTTGCTCAGGCTCATGATTATATAACTTAGATGGCAGATATATTTAGTGTTGCTATATTGTATTTGTAGTGTAATGAGATATAATGTTAAGTGCTTAGAATATTCCAAAGAATTTATAAATGCCCTTTAGATAAAATAATGTTTTAGTGTATTAGAGAGGGTAAATCCATAAAGAAGCCTATATTTGTAATTTTCCTTTTAAAAACTTTCCAGTTTTTGTATTTTGTAAAATATATTTTTATTAATCAGTGTTGTAATTTTCTTTTCTCCTGGTCTTTCAAATGTTGAGAAGGAAACAAACTTTTTTAGGATTTGAAACTAAATTATTCAGAGAAAGGTTATTGCTTTAAAATAATGTTTATTTTTTTAGTACTGTATTTTAAGAAACTCAGCATGCAGTCATCGTTTAAAATGTATTAATATTTCTTTGAAAATAAAGTAGGGGAAGACTTTTATCTGCATTTTAATATGCAGAAGTTGCTGAGAGGTATGGAAAACATCAGTGGTCAATACTGTGTTCTTTTGCAGAGCTAAATCAGTGCTGAGGAAACTGATGGTATTTGCTTCATTACCACAGGCAAACAAAGCTGAAATGATTGTCAGGCACGGGTATTTGTTTTTGTTTTCAAATTTTTTGGCACCTTACAAATAATTTATTGGGATATGACTTATAAAAACACGAGGAAGTATTACTCTAAAAATTCCATTCTTTTGAAACCATATTATTTGGGTACAGTGTTCGTAGATGCTAAAAATATTTTTTAATTGTCTCCTGAGATTTGTGGGATACATGTGGAAAGACAAACTTAGTGTTTATAGTTTGACTTGGTTAATTCTCTGTATCCATATCACTCTTCTTTCATAATTTCTTCATGAAAAAATGTAATCACATACAGATTTCTATTTGCAACACAAAATTAATGTGAATTCCATTTTAAAATAACCACCATCAAAAGTTTCTGAAAGTCTGGTTTATATTTTTTAAGTGCACTAGGTGGATGACTTGCTTAGTTTTGTTTTTTGGGGAAGTACATCTTTAAAAATATTTTCATTAGATTTTTAAGATGTGAGTAATGGTGACAATACTGGTATCCTAGTTAGTTTAATGTCCTTCCTTTTTAGAATTTCTTCATTTTGTCCTTCATTTTGTCTACATATATTTCTTTTAGTGCCATTACCTACTGAGTTTCTGTGAAAATAAGTTTTCTTTGCTTGTTAAAGCAAAATAATTCTTGAGATTGTTTTTTACTATTTATTTTTGTTTGATTCTTTTTGTTTGATTTTTGAAAGCAGTACTCTGAATTTCAGTGAGAAGGCAAAGTGTGGCAATAGATAGCTACTGCCTCATCGCTCAGAGCAAAATGCTTTTAGAGTTATTGCTTAACGTATGGTTTAATTTGTTGTAGCTATTTTTCTTTTTGAAATTGGAGGATATTATTTTTTCCTGTAATCAAGTCCATCTTGTATTTCTGAGTCAAGGAAACTATAATTAATATATGGATATGTTCACTTTTGAAATATAGAAAAGGAAATCAGTTTTTATTGACAAGAGCATCACTTGTGGCTACTGATCCACAATTTATTGTGAATTTTTTTCACTTTAATGTATACCACTTATTACTTGTTTACCTTTCCAGATCTTTTAGTTCTTTCATGTTAGATAAAAGCTTCATTTTTATGATATACATTTAGGACAAAATAGGACATGTGTTGTCCTACCGATTGTCTTCCTTACATACTTTAAGAGTAAAGAAGAGAGGGATTCTGGATATTCACTTGTGTTTTTTCCTTCCCTGGTCTCCCACGAATACATGACTTGATTTATCTTGATCAGCCTAGTAACTTGCTCCACATTTTTCCAAAAGTGCAAAGCAGTTTCAGCTAAAAATACACATATCAAAATGCTCCAGAAGTTGTGGCCACAGCTCAAAAATGCTGATCAATTTTGAAAATCTAAATCAACCTCGGCCATGAAACCAAGGGAAGAACCTTTGTGGTGGGGGACAGATTTCCAAAAATTCACCACAGTCCTGTTCTTAACTGGAGTTTGTGCTGATGTTGCCAGACAACTGAGGAATAGATGCATAAAGCAGGAAGCATTATTGAATTGAGCCCTAGCGCCAATTTGGGAAAAGCAAATTAAAATGTAAAAGAATATTTTTCCACTCCTGGAGTCTCAACATAAAATGGTAAAATACATGGTTGTAGAAAAAAGTCACAGAAATTGCTAATTTTGCCAAAAAAGTCTAGTTTTTTTGAGTTAAAAATGCATATACATATAGTTTTAAAATGTTTTTTATCCTGAATATAATAGTTTTAACTTACAAATCAAACTGTGCACACCTTTAAGTTAGAGTGCTGTGACATAGCCCACTGTGTGTGTGAGGGGGCTTGTCTCAGTGTCTTCTGTTATTTCCAGGTGCTCGGAAAGAATGGATGATGACGATTTTGGTGGTTTTGAGGTATGTGCTATTATGTACCTTAATTTTGTTTATGTAATTGGTCTAACTTTGTGAGGTTATAATGTAGTATATACTATTTTGAAAATGTATTATTTATCATTGGCATTCATGATCTTTTTCTTGATCATTTTGAATGTAATTTTGGAATAAAAAGTGAAATTATGGCAATTAGAGTACATCCCATCTGGATGTTAAACTGATTTATTATTATTGAACATTGGTCATGCCTGTAGGAATGGTTTAAATTAGGGTAATTAAGTGCTACTAGTGGAAGCACTAAAGAAGAGGTTTTAAAAATTGTCAGCAGATGATTTTGTTGGGATACATGTCAATTAGGAAATACTTGTGAGACGAGAGATGACTTTGAAGATCTGTCACATATTTTTGTGTTTACACCTGTAATGAGTTCATTTGGACTATTAACTATATAGCCTTTCAGTGTCTCATAGAGCTAATTAGTGTGTTTGTGTCAGAGTCTTCTCTTAGGTTTGAGTTTGTATTTTGTAAGTGGAAATTGTTAGCCGGAGAAGCACTGCTTTTCCTTAATCCTTTTCAGTGAGTGTTCATTTTATTGAAATATTTTGTAACCCAGTTATTTTTATGGAGCCAGTATAGTCTTGCAGGAAAGTCTCTGGATTAGGAGTCAGGATGCCTGAGCTCCAGTCTGGAACCACCATCGAGTGAGCTCTGTGACTTTTTTTTAAGTGAGACTCTATCCTAGTTTGGGATTTGGTAAAATGAGATTGTTAAAAACAGGGAATATAATTAATGACATTGATAGGAAATATAAGCTATTAAGTGCATATTCAATGTTCTGAATATTATGAAAGAATGGTATGATTTTTTTTTGGTTAGGGCCATTTTCTGTTGATCTTTAATAATCTGTTCATATGGAGATATTTAGAATATGAACATACCTATTGTGTACATTTCATCTAAAACTTTTTTGTTTAGTGCATTTGTATGTTTTCTATATTTTGGGTTTTGTTGGGTGATTGAATCTTATTTATGTTCCTGAAATGTAACATTTAAAATTTTATTAAAATTTCTTCTATTTTGAGGAAAATGTTTCAGATATTTTCTTAGTTTATTGTTTAGGAGTTGTCAGTTATTTGAAGGTTAAAACTTAGTATAGTCCCTTTTATTTAAACCTTGTTTGATTTATTATATTAAAAAAATTGAGTGGGTAGTGCTCCTTGGAGTAACAATTATACTTCAGTGTTAGAGTTAATGGGCCTGTTATTTTCAGTATTACGTAGGTACAGTTTTAACCAACCATTCCAATTTAATTGTGGTTATTAGGGTTCTTTCTTACCACATCCTGTTATAGAAATATGGAAGGTCTCTATCCTTGGTCATATAAACCATGTTCATTTTCCAGAGTTTGTAGAGTAGCAATAGCTACATTATATTCTGTATCACTTACCTCCTGGGGCAGATTTCCCCAGTTGACTTCTCCTTGGCAACAACTAAATGAAGAGTCTGAATTGAAATTGTGGCTCTTTTTTCAGTAATAACTTTACTGTGACCTGGACACTTAAGAGGCAGAAAACTGGACTCTTACACATATCTCAACATTTCAGTAATTGTCCCATAGTTTTAAAACTGTTTAATAGTAGGTCTTGTTAATTTAAAATGTCAGCTTTAGGAATTCTGTAAATTTGGAATAAGTAAGTCCAGCTGGTAGATTACTCAAAAATATAGATAGATGAATGCCATTTCTTTCAGCTTGATCTCAGAGTAGGTCTTGTGCTAATTAATGAAAAAGATTTGGTCTCTAGTCTTTTAAAGAAAACTGATCTGTTTTTATTATGTACATGGGTAAATGTGGTAAGTTAAAGTATAATACTTAGTTGTGAAGTTCACAAGTGAAAATGTGATTCAGGATATATAAAATAAAAATTTCATTGACAGGAGATGTATTTGAGTAAGAAAGGAAATTTTTTACTTAAAGATAATAGAACATGATTACTGGGGGCAGTAAGTATTGGTGGAAGTGGTAGCAATGAAGACTGAAAAGCAATTGAGTGTTCAGAAGGAATTTGAAAATGTGTGGTGTTTTACAGAGAATATGCTTGTAGAAATGGAAAGCTTGATTGCTTAAATAGCATTTCTATTTTCCAGGTTGTCTAAAGTAATTTTGCCTTTGTTTTCTAGGCTGCAGAGATTTTTGATGGTGGAAGTGGTGAAAACCAAACTACATCTCCTGCTATTCCTTGGGCTGCTTTTCCTACAGGTACTACTATACAGTAACTAGCAGTTTTATTATTTTTTTCTTAGTTAACATTTTTGCCTTTTCTTTGGGAGCCTCTTTCTACATTTGTACTTGGCCCTCTATGATCTGAAAAATGGAATGGCCCAGGTTTAGTTTAGGTTTATTTCATAACAAATTATGAATTGCATAACAAATTCTGCAGTGGTGACTTGAGGCCTGATTCAAAACACATTATCATGAACATTAAATGAAGTTAAAGTACAATTTATATTTCCTAATTTGTCCTAGTTTAGGAAAGTGAGTTTCAAATAGTATTTTTTAGGTTGTCTAGTTCATTAATTAAAGACTCCTTATTATATTTTAAATATATTCTAAAAATAATTTATTGTATCCACCAGTATTTAAATTTAGAAGTTTTTTTCAGAAAAGTCATTCAAAAGTATTAAAAATAAACCATCCAAGACATTAAATAAAAAAATAAATTCTGTTATTGAGAGATATTTGGTGGAAGACCTGATGTTCATTATTAATATAATTCATGTCTAAACAGTATTTTGAGTTTTCTAGACTTTAACAGCTCTGGTTAGTCTTAGATTATCAGAGATATTCATCTGACAAATATTCTTCTAGTGCTTATTATGCATTAGGCACTGTGGGGTTATGTCCTTTACTTCAAGGGGCAGGCACACACGTATCTGTGATTTGGGAAGAATGATCATTTTGTCATCCATTCATTTAGCAAATGTTATTTCGTGCTTGGTATGGTTCAAGTACTGTCATTGAAGATGGATGGGCCTTGAAGGATTCACATGACTTCATTAGGCAGAAATAGGAGAATGGGGAAAGATTTTGAAGGGAAAAAAATAAATGGAACAAAGGTATAAATGTGGGAAAGAGGGTGGCATAATTAGGAGTCTCATTCTTATTTGAGGACATTATGCTCATACATGTTGTTTCCTTTGCCTAGAATTTTCTTCTACCTTGCTACTTCCTCCCACTATCCTTTCTGTTTTATGTGTTATTTCTTTAAAATTTATTTTTATGGGAAGCCTTCCCAGAGAACCCTCCACATCTATGTGTACCTGTTTTCTGACCTTCATGTTAGACTGTAAGTTTTGTGGGATTAGATGCCATGTATGTTTGTCTTACTGTTGTGTCTTAAATGCTGAGCATAGTGCCTAGCTTTTAGTTGGCCCTCAATTATATGTATAGAAAGAATAATTAAAGAAAAAATGATGGATTGATTGAATGAATGAATAAATAACTGAATGAATCACTAGACTAGAGTGTCAATGGAAATTGATGGGAAGGTTTGGGATAATGATTTAGTTTTTTCAGTTTGCTATTACACACACACACACACACACACACACTCAGGTGTAGTCCTCAAAGCCTAATGAAATCAGAATTAAAGAACAACACCTCTGTTGTACATACACAGTATCTCCCTTACTCCCTTAAATACATTAGATTTGAAGAAAGTCCTGTTCTTCTAAATTTCCAAATGACTTTTCAATGACTTTTAGAAGCAGAGGAAATTAGCTCCACAAGCAGCATAGCCAAAGGGAGATCTCCACAAACACCACAGCCTGCTGGGGAGAATTCCACTTTATGATCAGCACCTGCACAGCAGCTCATACGCTGTTATTGCTTGGGATAAATCCTCGCAGTCAGCCAGACTAAGGGTAAACCCCACCTGTGGAGAGTCCAACAGTAACCAAGACTAAACTAAAACATAAAGGGCGTATATAACATGCACAAGGGACATTCCTGGAGCACTCAACTCAGGTGATCAGGGAGACTGTACCACTGAGCCCCAGAGAATACTTACTATATAAGGTCACCATACCAAGACTGGGAGACATAAACAGATCTATGTAACACAAACAAATACAGAGAAGCAGCCAAAATGGGGAGACAAAGAAATATGGCCCAAAAGAAAAACAGGAGAAATACCCAGAAAAAGAACTGAAGGAAATGGAGATAAGCAATCTGCCAGATACAGAATTCAAACAATGGTTATAAAGATACTCAAGGAACCTAGTGAGAACTTTGGCAGCTTAAAAAAGGCATAGAAGCCATAAAAAAGAATCAATCAAGCAAAATATAACCAAAGACATTGAAATAGAGAATAGGCTGACAGTGACCAGAGGGGAAAGGGGAGGGAATTTCAGGGGAAAAGGGGAAGGGTTTACAGGAACAAGTATAAAAGACACATGGACAAAAACTAGGGGGGGAGGTGGAAATGGGAGGGAGGTTGGGAGGGCTGGGGGTGTGTGGGCTGGGATGGGAGTAAAAGACAGAAAACTCTACTTGAACAACAATTAAAATTAAAAAAAAGAACCAATCAGAAATAAAGAATACAGTATCTGAAATGAAGCATGCACTAGATGGAATCACTAGAAGCTTAAATGAAGTAGAGGATTGAATAGGTGAATTGAAAGACAGTGTAGCAGAAAATACCCAATTAGAGCAACAAAAAGAAAAAGAATTAAAAAAAATGAAGATGTTTTAAGGGACCTCTGGGACAACAAATCAATTACAACTAATGAAATAGAAGCAGTCATCAAAAAACTACCCCTCCAAAGTCCTAAACTGATGGCTTCACAGGTGAATTGTGCCAAACATTCACAGAAGATGTGGCACCCCTCTTTCTCAAACTATTTCAAAAAATCCAAGACGAAGGGAGACTCCAAGGCTCATTTTATGAGATTAGCATTATCCTTATTTTAAAACCAGAAAAAGATACTACAATGAAAGATAAGTATAGGCCAATTTCCTGGTCAACATAGAAGCAAAAATCCTCAAGAAATATTAGCAAACCAAATTCAGCAATGCATTGAGAAGGTCATATACCATGATCAAGTGGTATTTATTTCTGGGATGCCAGGTTGATACAATATCCTCAAATCAATTAACTTGATACACCACATAAACAAAAGGAAGGATAAAAATTATATCATTATATCAATAGATGCAGAAAAAGCACTTGATAAAATGTAGCACCTATTTATTATAAAAACTCTCAGCAAAGTGAGAATTGAGGAATAATACCTCAACAAAATAAAGTCCATATATGACACACCCACAGCTGACATAATACTCAACAGGGAAAATTTTCTTTAAGATCAGAAACAAGACAGGGATATCCACTTTGAACACCCATTCAACATGGTACTAGAAGTTGCAGCCACATCAATCAGACAAGAAGAAGAAATAAGACATCCAAGTTAGAAAGAAAGAAGTAAAACTGTCATTATTTGCAGATGGAATGATACTATATATAGAGAACCCTAAAGATTCCACCAAAAAATTATCAGAACTGATAAATGAATTCAGTAAAGTAGCAGTATGCAAAATAAATAATCATAAGTTGGCTGCATTTTTATGCGCCAATAATGAACTATCAGAGAAACCAAAAGAGCAGTTCTTTTTACATTTGCATCAAAAAAAATTAAATACCCTGGAATAAATTTCAGCAAGGAGGTAATAAACTTTTACTTAGAAAATTATAAGATATTGACTAGGAAATTGAAGGAGATACAAATAAATGGAAGTGTATGCTGTGCTCTTGGATAGGAAGAATTAACATAATTAAAATTTCATACTACCAAAAGCAATGTATGATTAAACACATTACCTATCAAAATATCAATGACATTTTTGTAGTACTATAATAAATAACTCAAAAATTTATATGAAACCACAAAAGATCTCAATAGCCATAGCAGTCTTGAGAAAGAAGAACCAAGTTGGAGGTATCACCTTACCTGATGTCAGACTATATTACAAGTGTATATTAATCAAAGCAATGTGGTACTTGCATAAAAGCAAACACATAGATCAATAATACAGAATAGAGAGCCTAGAAATAAACCCATGCCTATATGGTCATGTAATATATAACAAAGGATGCAGGAACATACAATGGGGTAAAGACAGTGTATTCAACAAATGGTGTTAAAAAACTGGACAGATAAATGCAAAAAAAAAATGAAGCTAGACCACCTTTTCAGACCTCATAGAAGAATAAACTCAAAATGGATTAAAGACTTTTAGCCCCAGCTAGTGTGGCTTAGTGGTTGAATGCCAAACTGTGAACCAAAGGGTCGCTGGTTCAATTTCCCATCTAGGGCATATGCATGGGTTGCGGGCCAGGTCCCCAGTAAGGGGTACATGGGAGGCAACCCCTCACTGGTGTTTCTTTCCCTTTCTTCCTCCCTTCCCCTTTCTAAAAAATAAAATACACATTGATTCTTATTGAATCTTGTGTATTATTATAATACACATTGATTCTTAAAAAAAAGAATCAACCATGTTCTTAAAAACAAACAAACAAATAAAGACTTTTAAATGTACGACTTGAGGCCTGGTTGGTGTGGCTCAGCTGGTTGTATGTCATCTCACAAACCAAAAGGTCAAAGGTTTGATTCCCAGTCTTGGCACATACCTGAGTTGTAGGTTTGATGCTGGTCTGGGCACGTGTGGGAGGCAACTGATTGATGCTTATCTCTCACATTGATGTTTCTCTTTCTCCCTCCCTCTCGCTCTAAAAGCTATGAGAAAATGTCCTCAGGTGAGGAGAAAAATTGTAAAAAAAAAACCCCACAATGAAATATTACCACAATCCTGTCAGAGTGGCTATCATCAGTAAATCAAGCCAACAAGTGTTGGTGAGGATGTAGAGAAAAGGGAATCCTTGTGCCCTCTTGGTGGGAATGAATATTTGTGCAGCCACTATGAAAAACAGTATAGAGGTTCCTCAAAAAATTAAAATCAAACTGCCTTATGACCCAGCGATTCTACTTCTGTGAATTTATCTGAAAAAGTCCCAAACACTAACTTGAAATAATATCTGCACCCTTATGTTCATTGTAGCATTATTTACAATAGCCAAGCTATGGAAGTAGCCCAAGTGCCCATCAGATGAGAGGACTTAAGAAAAAAGGCTGTGGTACATACATACAATGTAATATTACTGGGTCATGAAAAAGAATGAAATCTTACCATTTGTGATAGCA